AGTCCTCGACGAGGAAGTCCGTCACCCGTGGCGGGCGCGGTTTGTGGTGCCCGGCTGCAAGAGGGCCTGGAATGTGCTTCCCGTCAAGCCGCAAACGTACTGTCCGGAGTTGCACCGCGTGCAGGAGACGAAGAAGGGCTCAGCCCGCGCGTACCCACGGAATCAGCGAGGCTGGGTGTTTTTCGTGTCATAGACAGGGCTCATTGAGCAGAGAATTCGTTAAGGCGATCTAAAAGACGTAAAGGTGTCTAAGACACGCAAGCCTCGTACGAAGCGACAGTTGAATGTGGATTGTGGTTATTTAAAATTTTAATGGGGGGAGTGTAACGAGGTTACGCGTACCTACAACGAAAGGACCGTCTCTCGTATTCTATTCACCAGATTGTATATTTTATCAGCAGAGTAATTTGATTCATGTTTGGACGAGTTCGGATTTACCATCAATTTGATAGTCATATACATACAATCAATCGAGCGCGAGTCAATATTACGAAATTTTTTATTTCCGCCTCGAAACAATCAAGCTTTTTATACTTGAATAAACGAGTTATATCGAGCTTCCAATGTTAATATATCAAATTTTTGTTATCTGCGGCATGCCACCCTCTGCATTACGGCCACAAAAATCGTGTACAAATTTTCGTGGTTGTATCGTTAGAAAACCATTATACTGCTATAAACATGGACTTGCCGATGCAAGCTCGACTTTAGAAAAAAAGCTTTTGTATGCAGTAGGCGATTTTTGTATGTGGAGACAAAGTCAAGTAATTTCAAGTAGATATTTCTAGCGGGAAAGCATACAAATTGTAAAACATCAGTAGTACTCTCTAGTGAAATTTTTATCGACTTTGACTGCTGTTAATTACCATATCTCAAGTACAACTTTCATCGTGATGAGCATGGGGAAAATTTCGATGCAAACCAGTGTGTATAGCAATTTGTTATTGGCTCAGTGTATGACGAAATCAATTTCAGATGGGATGGATTTTCAAATCTATATGTTGAAAGAACTGCTGATTTGTTAAAAACTAATCAAATTTAGTATCGACTAGTGCTACCAAATCTAAGTGATCAGTGTTTGCAAGACGACTAGACAACACACAGTGGTCATTCATATTCACAAACTAATTAAATTGTCTTTACTGTACAAAGGTCAAAGGTCCGAGTTTCGTCAGGTGATGTGATTCTTTGCTTCAAACATGCAGCAAATTGAAATTGTTGTAGTGTATAGCGTTTATTTATCTCTGTATTATTCGTATCTGGTAAGATATGTAAGTTGGTCGATACATTG